TAGGCTCGAGTGAGAGCTAACAACGAGAGGCTCAAGTGAGAGCTAACAACGAGAGACTCGAGTGAGAGCTAACAACGAGAGGCTCGAGTGAGAGCTAACAACGAGAGACTCGAGTGAGAGCTAACAACGAGAGACTCGAGTGAGAGCTAACAACGAGAGGCTCGAGTGAGAGCTAACAACGAGAGACTCGAGTGAGAGCTAACAACGAGAGACTCGAGTGAGAGCTAACAACGAGAGGCTCGAGTGAGAGCTAACAACGAGAGACTCGAGTGAGAGCTAACAACGAGAGACTCGAGTGAGAGCTAACAACGAGAGGCTCGAGTGAGAGCTAACAACGAGAGACTCGAGTGAGAGCTAACAACGAGAGGCTCGAGTGAGAGCTAACAACGAGAGACTCGAGTGAGAGCTAACAACGAGAGACTCGAGTGAGAGCTAACAACGAGAGGCTCGAGTGAGAGCTAACAACAAGAGACTCGAGTGAGAGCTAACAACAAGAGACTCGAGTGAGAGCTAACAACAAGAGACTCGAGTGAGAGCTAACAACGAGAGACTCGAGTGAGAGCTAACAACGAGAGACTCGAGTGGGAGCTAACAACGAGAGACTCAAGTGAGAGCTAACAACGAGAGACTCGAGTGAGAGCTAACAACGAGAGACTCGAGTGAGAGCTAACAACGAGAGACTCGAGTGGGAGCTAACAACGAGAGACTCGAGTGAGAGCTAACAACGAGAGACTCGAGTGAGAGCTAACAACAAGAGACTCGAGTGAGAGCTAACAACAAGAGACTCGAGTGAGAGCTAACAACAAGAGACTCGAGTGAGAGCTAACAACGAGAGACTCGAGTGAGAGCTAACAACGAGAGACTCGAGTGAGAGCTAACAACGAGAGGCTCGAGTGAGAGCTAACAACGAGAGGCTCGAGTGAGAGCTAACAACGAGAGACTCGAGTGAGAGCTAACAACGAGAGACTCGAGTGAGAGCTAACAACGAGAGACTCGAGTGAGAGCTAACAACGAGAGACTCGAGTGAGAGCTAACAACGAGAGACTCGAGTGAGAGCTAGCAACGAGAGACTCGAGTGAGAGCTAACAACAAGAGACTCGAGTGAGAGCTAACAACGAGAGACTCGAGTGAGAGCTAACAACGAGAGACTCGAGTGAGAGCTAACAACGAGAGACTCGAGTGAGAGCTAACAACGAGAGACTCGAGTGAGAGCTAACAACGAGAGACTCGAGTGAGAGCTAACAACGAGAGGCTCGAGTGAGAGCTAACAACGAGAGGCTCGAGTGAGAGCTAACAACGAGAGACTCGAGTGAGAGCTAACAACGAGAGACTCGAGTGAGAGCTAGCAACGAGAGACTCGAGTGAGAGCTAACAACGAGAGACTCGAGTGAGAGCTAACAACGAGAGACTCGAGTGAGAGCTAGCAACGAGAGACTCGAGTGAGAGCTAACAACGAGAGACTCCTCGCTGAGATATTCACCGACAAAAACAAGAAACAAACATAATCTCACTATTATCATTAACAAAAACACTTTAATACTCTTCACTGAAAGCAACAAGAGAATATTTTTATTCGTAAAAACAAAAACAGTCACAACAGGTTGGAAATACTGATGACAACTTGAATATAATATAATATAATACAATGTATAATATAATATAACAAAGTGGAGCCACTAATGGCAATTATATACACGAGATTATAATTCAGAAAACCTCCAGTCATGTTATAGAAAGTTATGCTCTTAACAATAGTAATTATAATAATCCCCCTCCGGTGGATTATATTATAATAACTTTTATTTCTACTAATACATAATACAACTATTACAGACCTAACTGGTATCACTGTAGTATTATAAAGTCCCTGGTTATGCTGAACATTTCTGGCAACTTAAGCTAATTTTGTTCTCCAGGGTGTTCCCCAGGGTGTTCCCCAGGGTGTTCCCCAGGGTGTTCCCCAGGGTGTTCCCCAGGATGTTCCCCAGGGTGTTCCCCAGGATGTTCCCCAGTGTGTTCTCCAGGGTGTTCCCCAGGGCTTACCCCAGGGTGTTCCCCAGGGTGTTCCCCAGGGCTTTCCCCAGGGTGTTCCCCAGGGTGTTCCCCAGGGTGTTCCCCAGGATGTTCCCCAGTGTGTTCTCCAGGGTGTTCCCCAGGGCTTACCCCAGGGTGTTCCCCAGGGTGTTCCCCAGGATGTTCCCCAGGGTGTTCCCCAGGATGTTCCCCAGGGTGTTCCCCAGGGTGTTTCCCAGGGTGTTCCCCAGGGTGTTCCCCAGGGTGTTCCCCAGGGTGTTTCCCAGGGTGTTCCCCAGGGTGTTCCCCAGGGTGTTCTCCAGGGTGTTCTCCAGTGTGTTCTCCAGGGTGTTCCCCAGGGCTTACCCCAGGGTGTTCCCCAGGGTGTTCCCCAGGGCTTTCCCCAGGGTGTTCCCCAGGGTGTTCCCCAGGGTGTTCCCCAGGATGTTCCCCAGTGTGTTCTCCAGGGTGTTCCCCAGGGCTTACCCCAGGGTGTTCCCCAGGGTGTTCCCCAGGATGTTCCCCAGGGTGTTCCCCAGGATGTTCCCCAGGGTGTTCCCCAGGGTGTTTCCCAGGGTGTTCCCCAGGGTGTTCCCCAGGGTGTTCCCCAGGGTGTTTCCCAGGGTGTTCCCCAGGGTGTTTCCCAGGGTGTTCCCCAGGGTGTTCCCCAGGGTGTTCCCCAGGGTGTTCTCCAGGGTGTTCTCCAGGGTGTTCCCCAGGGTGCTACCGACAACAGTCTACTAACACGCAGATACCTGGGTACTGATGGGTGAACTGGAACAGCAGGTGTAAAGAAACACGCCAAACGTTTCACCCATGCCGGACCATCAGTATATTTCAAAATGGCTGTGTCTATCCTATTCTTCCTAGCTTCTGTTCCTATACGCCCTATTCTTAGCAAGTATATTGTTGTTCCTATCTGCCCTATTTGTATCTTCTGTTTCTGTGTATACCCTATTCTTTCTAGGTATGTATCTTGTTATTCCTATGCACCCTATTTTCTTCCCACTAAGTACGTTGCACCTCGTAATATTGTTTGTCTTATTCCTTTTCTTCGCATTCGTCTCCCAGCGATGACTCGCATTGTTCTCTCAGAAATTTACAAATATTTAACATAAGCGAGCTCACGCTGATTAAGTCAAACAGAAAATAAAAGAAATCCTTTAGATTTCCTCTCCAGTCTGCTGAAGATGGTCTCAACTGTAAGACGAAATACTCAGTACTTTGTTTCCTCCATATGGGCTTGTATTACTGTTTATATATAGGAGGATGAAAATTTCTAGGTCTGGAAGGACAGTGTCACGGGTTTTAATATGAAAGTTTTCATCTCTTCAGTTCACTCTTCATTGGCCTTTAACCAAGCAGTAACAAAATTAGATATGTGGCATCCTTACTGAGTCAGATGTACTGTTTAGAGACGCTACGAGACCAAGTGTAAAAACTACTATGGCAAAGATAGATAGTGGATGGATGGATAGATAGTGACGAAATACACATGTGTAATATCTAGATGGATTGTAACATTAAAAACTATTACATTTTCTAAAAAATGAACGGAAAAATACTACTTGGAGAAATAGAAAATAATACAAATGAAATGTTGACTTAATTTACACAGATTTTTTTAAAGCCTTTCCAAGTGTGCGCACGGCGTAACAACACAGCAAAAGGAATAACTGGTAATTGGGCAGATAATTCTTCACCTTTCTAAAGAAAATAAACCCAGTGATCAATAGTTAACAAAATAAACCCAGAAAATGATTGGCTAAATAACAGTAACATTCAAAATGCGAGACATAATGCCAATGATAATTTTTAAGGCACTTTTATTCTCTGCTCTGGAATAATGTATATTTGAGGCAGACTGCACTGCAAATCTGCAGAATATACTCAGTTCTCAGTTAAACACCAAAACTATTAGAAATGCCTAAAATCCATGAAATTGAATCCATAGATCCAAATAGCATACTGCCGACAGTAGTGAAGGGGGAACACAGTGCACAACAAGCTTTAAGTTGTTCTCAGGAGAGAAAACTGCTCTTGGAAGATGCTGGAGGGACTGGATCTAAATTTGCTGGCTGAAATTGCTCTGTACAGGGTATACAGGGTCCAAGACTTTTTAACGCCCTTCAAACAAGGAAAATTACCTATGACATCTTCATGAAGGAACTGGATGAGTTCCTGAAAAAAATCTTGATTAGCTGAGCTGAGGTGCCTACGCTGGACTGCGTGCAGCGAGCACCAACACGTTGACTGGTCAGGTCGTCAACATGGAAACCTCGTCTGAGACCGGACAGTGGGGGCCTGAGATCCGGAACCATATGAAAACATTTAATTTGCAGCAGCATCTGCTGTTGCTGCTCTAACAATCGTGTTACTAACAAAATGATGGGGGATATTAGTTCTTCACGATAACAAGTACTCATGGAACGACTCAGACGATACAGGCAACTCCGACGATCCGAGCAACGCCGACGATACGAGCAACTCCGACGATACGAGCAACTCCGACGAGACGAATCAGGTGACTTAAAGAATGCTGATGACTTCAACGATATAAGCGACTTCGACGATTCAGGTGACTTCAAGGATACGGGCGACTTCGACGATACGGTTGACTTCGATGAGTCATGTGACTTTAATGATACGGGTGACTTCGACCCTACGAGTGACTTCGACGATTCGGGTAACTTTTAATGATAGGGGCGACATCAACGATACGGACAACTCTGACGACACTGGTGACTTGATGACCCGCAAAGTTTTCCTGCTAACATTACATAAACTGTAAATATTGCGAGGCTCGCAGGATACACGAGAGAGGAGTGTCTAAACTACTACTATCATAAGGGGGAAATTTTCTTTTGTTTCCACGGAGACGCTTGAAGCACAGTTCTTTCATGAAAATCTGGTAAACCCCTTCAGGGTCATGTAGGAAAGTATCAGAAGCACTAGAGAAAGTGAAATAAACGAGAGGGGTTCCATACCTTGTAGTAGCATGCCGCGGTGTTCGTCTGTTGTAGTCTCTGTGTTTGTCTGTAGCAATGGTACCGTGTTTTCCCTGTTCGTGTTTCAGTGGGACCGTGTCTCTATTTTCGTCTTTGACAATGGTACAGTGTCTTTGTGTTCGTTGGCAGCAGTGGCAATGTGTGTCTGTGTTCGCCTGCAGCAGTGGTAGCGTATCTCTGTGCACACTGAAGGGGTTCACAGTGATACCGTGTCTCCGTGCACACTGAAGGGTTCACACTCTTACACTGGCCGCCTGTCGCTACTCCCCGCCACCGGCACCTCCCTGACACAACTTTCTCCGAGAGCAAGAGTAGTGAACACGGCCCTGCTACCGCAGGAGGCCGCTCCTCTCCGTCACTCACCCGCCTACCTAGCCTTGACTGATGGCTGCCCTAGCCACGCCCACACCGCCCATGACTACACTGACCCCAACACTGACACGTTGAGTCACGACTCGCCAACAATAACAACACTGAGAGTTTGCTTAGACACACATCAGACAGCTCATAATTTTGAATGTTGTGAAGTAATTACACCCACACTCAGCTCTGGCTAAAATTCAACCACTAAATCAAAACAACATATGTTGTTAAGTGCGGCTCGTGACTGGTAAGATTATTTTGAGCATAATGAGTATAATTGTACCTAAAAGATGTCATTTTATGCTCTTCCCATCTAGCTCTGTCTTAGGTTTAGGTCGGATAGTTATACGTAACTAACATTGGTAAATCATATCGCACAATGTGACATTAATTTTTTTATGTTGTGAACCGGTAAACCAGCGGAAGGCCTCGATCATAAGACCTAAAGCTCCAGCTAGCGGGCCAAGTGTTTCCTGACTCGCGTCAGGAAGCACTTGTGCCGTTTCTTGGCGAATACAACATCATTCCGTGATGTACAAGAGGGGAGATGGAAAGACGACGTTTCACTCATGCATGCACATGTATAAAAGAAACGTGAAAGGCAAATGTTTCACTCATGTATAAAAGAGAGACGTATGTAATGTTAGGTAACTTATTTTATGGAAATGTCTCGCCCACAAGCGACTTGAGTAAGACCTCACTGACCAGCCACTATATGATTAGGACCTCAGGAGAAATATACTTGTAACTCAAACCCCACCTTCCTCCCTCCCTTTCTTCCTCCATTCTTTCTTTCCTTCTTTTCTTCCTTTCTCCCTTCTTTCCTTCTTCCATTCCTTCTTTCTACTTGCTAATACCCAGCTTTACTTTCTACACTGTAGCTCTCAGAGGAGAATAAGTCACACTGCCGTTACTGAAACAGTTCACAACTAACCCACAATTTTCGAAGGAAACAGACGATGCTTCGATCTGATCGAAACAACTTGGTAATGGTTCAAGAAGGAAAGAAATATCGTTTTAAAATTTCCTCTCCAAGTAGTGGGTTGTGAAATGTAACTCTTATCTAAATTAGGGAGAGTGCGCTTACATTACTGAATTATATTAAATGTAATCAAACTCCCACTTTGTATACTGGTATCTTAATAGTGGGAAAAGTATAGTGGTGGTTTTATTGCTGGACATTATTAGTAGTAATACATCCAGGGGAACCGCTAAACCCATAGGGGTTTGTGTGAATTATTATGTGAGCAAATTACCTGCATGAGGTTTACAGGGCATTACCTGAATTATTACAGGCAAGTAATTTGGGTGAGATAAGTGGGACTTGAGTCACAGTAGGTCACAGGACTGTAACTCCCTCGATGCCCACTTCATCACCGCTCACACAAAAAGCTAGACCTGATATTAAATTAATAATTACAATATTAAAACCAACTACTCTGGTAAATTAAAATTGTGCACTGTATGTGATTAGGTTTGCTGGGTGCACAAAAGAAATTCATGTTACCACTTACCATTTAATTACTGTAGATGGATCACACCACAACACCTGCCTGACACCTAGACCCTACACTGGCCAGTTAGAGATCTAAATGAAAGGACTAATGGCACATTTCCCTGTGAGTGATGATTGTATCCCTTCCGCCATCCACACACAATTCATGAGGTCCCGCAAATTTCCTGTCCCAATTCTTCAGCAAGGGACATTAACACAGGTTCCTATTACAAATTCAGGCCGGAAAACTCTAATTTGGCCACGAAGACGCTGGATTATAAGTTGAATTTTCCACGGCAACCAGTGCCCACAAATTACAAATGGCGTTCACCCATCCGCGTCACTCAGCTGTTCTACACCCCTCTCACTCGAAATTTCTCGAAAGGGTCAAATCAGCATTACATTTTATTACACAATCATTGCATTATTCAAATTTACACATGCTGAATTTAGGAAAATTCAAAATTTTCCACAGGGGTCACACAGCGCATGAGGAGGCAGTTTAGTTGGATGCCGGGGAAGGACAGTCGCATCTCCTGTACACTCTCTGATGCCTCACCGACATCGAGGTGTACACAGAAATCTTTTAATATCCTTCAAGCTATCTTTGCGTAATAAGTTGTTAACGTGTCTATGTCACATCTTAACATGGTTGTGTATAGCAATTAAATTATATGTCTCATTATGGCCATCTAATGGCTTCTAGTTTCGCTCTAGTCTTATTTACGGTAACTTAAAGGAAATCCACAGGGCAAGCCAGTGCTAAAACTAGCAAGAAAGTGCTTAAACTAACAAGCCAGAGGTAAAACTAGCAGGCCAGTGCTAAAATTGGCAGGCCAGTGCTAAAACTAGTAAGCCAGTGCTAAAACTATTAGGCCAGTGCTAAAATTTGCAGGCCAAAGGTAATACTAGCAAGGCAGTGCTAAAACTAGCAGGCCAGAGGTAAAACTAGCAGGCCAGTTCTTAAACTAGCAGACCAGAGGTAAAACTAGATGTCAGTGCTAAACCTAGCAGGCCAGAGAAAACTAGCAAGCCAGAGGTAAAACTAGGAAGCCATAGGTAAAACTAGCCTGGAGTTTACCTGGAGAGAGTTCCGGGGGTCAACGCCCCCGCGGCTCGGTCTGTGACCAGGCCTCCTGGTGGATCAGAGCCTGATCAACCAGGCTGTTGCTGCTGGCTGCACGCAAATCAACGTACGAGCCACAGCCCGGCTGATCCGGAACTGACTTTAGGTGCTTGTCCAGTGCCAGCTTGAAGACTGCCAGGGGTCTGTTGGTAATCCCCCTTATGTGTGCTGGGAGGCAGTTGAACAGTCTCGGGCCCCTGACACTTATTGTATGGTCTCTTAACGTGCTAGTGACACCCCTGCTTTTCATTGGGGGGATGGTGCATCGTCTGCCAAGTCTTTTGCTTTCGTAGTGAGTGATTTTCGTGTGCAAGTTCGGTACTAGTCCCTCTAGGATTTTCCAGGTGTATATAATCATGTATCTCTCCCTCCTGCGTTCCAGGGAATACAGGTTTAGGAACCTCAAGCGCTCCAATGCTAAAACTAGAAAACCAGTGCTAAAACTAGCAGGCCAGTGCACTAGAAAAAAAATATAATTTAATTTTTTCCCCGGTTTGACCGATGTGTTTATCATGTCATTCCCCGTGGGAAACAAGCCTCAGAAACAACTGTGGCAGAATGTCGTTACAGTTCTCTATTTTATAAAAAATATCGTATATCCACTTTTCTCCGATGTTTTCATAATATTTACCGTGTGAAACACACTGCCTGGTCGCCCTGGGTTTTGAAAAAATGGGTATGGAGGGGGTTTCAGAATTATTTCTGGTAGCTATTTTTCGCATAATATTGGAACACGAATAGTACCAGGAGTTATTTACGCATAATATTAGCACATAAATAGTACCAGGTAGTTATTTACGCATATTATTGGCACATGAATAGTACCAGGTTTACAGTTATACACACTACGTAAGGAAGCTATAAAAAGCGACAAAAAAGAACAACCTTGGAAGATTTCCACAGGTGAAGCGGAAATGACAGAGTGTCATATTCGTACTGGGTAGTGACGACCTTGGTACCGCTGGTGACTGCAGGCGTCGTTATGTGACAAGACTGACAGGCAAATATATTGTAAGTTCCTGTTGTGTCAGGGAGCATGGTGTGTGTGTGTGTGTTGTGTGTGCACTCGTCTATATGTAGTTGCAGGGGTTGAGTCATAGCTCCTGGCCCCGTCTCTTCGCTGATTGCTACTAGGTCCACTCCCATCTTTGTGTGGACCCTGCTTCTACTACATCACTCTCCAGATTGTTCCACTTCCTGACAACTCGAAGGCTGAAGAAATACTTCCTAACATCCCTGTGACTCATCTGAGTTTTCGACTTCCAGTTGCGGCCCTCTTATTCCTATTTTCCATCTCTGAAACATTCTGCTCCTGTTCACCTTGCCAGTTCCCCACAGGATTTTGTATATCATGTCCCCCTAGTTCTCTTGTAGTCCAGTGTCATCATGTTGAGTTCCCTTAACTTCTCCTAATAGTACATACCACTTAGCTCCAGGACTAGTCTCGCTGCAAGCCTCTACACTTTCCCTAATTTCTTGATATACTTGACCAGGTGTGGGTTCCATACTGGTGTTGCTTACTCCAATATGGACTTGTACGCGGTTTGCAGTGTCGTGAATGACTCCTTACATAAATGTTGAAAAGCTATTAGTCTTAGATTTGCCAGACGCGCATTTGCTGCAGCGAATTATTTGACTGATGTGCGCCTCAGGGGATATGCTCAGTAGGATACTCATACCAAGGTCCTCCTTGAGTGTAGTTTGCAGCCTTTGCCCCTCGAGCTGTACTCCGTCTCCGGTCTTCTTTGTCCTTCCCAAAGCTTCAAAACTTTGCACTTGGTGGGGTTAAACTCCGGGATCCATTTATCAGACCAGGCCTGTAGCCTGTCCAGACTCTCCTCATTTGTTTCACATCGTCTGCAAACAGGGACACCTCTGACTATTCCTTCTGACAATTGCCCTGTTTAGATAGACTTGAAGATTGTTGCTAGCGACACAGTGCGTCTCTCAGGACCCTCGGAGAAATATCTGGTCCCATCGCCTTCGAGGTATGTAGCTCACATAGCAGTTTCTTCTCCACAGTTGTGTGTATTGTGTCCAACACTTGCTGGTGCACTCTTCTGCCTCGATTTCCTGGAACCCTTTATGTCTCTTGAGAATATCTCCCTAAATCTAATGCTGAGATCTTCACATACATCCTGATCATTCCTTGTGAGGTGTGTATGTGTGTGTTTTGGCTGTGGTAGTGGTTGTGGAGAGTCACGTGGTGTGCTAGTACATCTGTGTCCACGTTGTTTCTCCTGTGTACGGGAACACGTGCTCGTCAGTGTACGCTATCGCGGGAACGTGCCGGTGTGTTTGAGTGTAG